CGGCACCGACCCCGAAAATCCCCGAACAACACCCAGCCCCACCCCGAAGCGGATCCAGTCCCAGGCCCCAGGGATCCGAGGCCCCAAGGGCACCCCACCCCCAGACAGGAGCCCCAGCAAAGCCCCGGCCGGCCGGGGCCAGTGGAGAGGCCGCCAGGAATGAGCCAGCAGTCCCCCGGGCATCCACCCCCAGCTCCACCAGTGCACCGGTGAGCCCCGACGCCAGCCAGCGGAGGGAGAGCAGGACGGGGGGAATGGGCTCCGCACTTAGCGGAGACTTGAGATGTATTTGGGAGAGGGTGCGGTTGAGACCCCAACCTGGGAAAGAAAAAAAAAAAAAAAAAAACACACCATCTCAATCATGCCTTCCCTCCCTAGTGCCCCCACTCGTACCACAGGAAAAAAAAAAAAAAAAAAAAAAAAAAAAAAAAAAATTGAATAAAATAATAATAATAATAAATAAAGAAAATAACAACGCAGACACACATTCACCCATAACACTCACATCCAATAATACCAGGACCAAAAACCCGGTGACACCGGTGGTCGGTCCCGGGACTATCGGATGACCCCATAAGTGAACCTAAAATCCGGATGTGAGGGGAGGGGAGCGGCGACACCGCCACACCAACCCATCTCTTTCCTGCTTTAAGCCCGGCCCCCCACCCCGCACACGGACCGGACCACCCCCCGCAAGAGCCCCCCCCGGGACCGGGGCCCACCCATCCCGCGCCGGCCACCCAACCAGAACCGCCCCCCCCCCCCGAAAAGAACAAAAAAAAAAAAAAAAAAAAAAAAAAAAAAAAAAAACCTTCAACCAGGCACTTCATGCCCCTCCATCCAACCTTCTTTGGGGAGAGCAGAGGTGACAGCCCCGCCACCAGCAGGCCACCTAGGCCCCGCAGCCAGCCCCAGCCAAAACCACGGACCAGGTGGCCCGCTCTTCCTCCAGGCCCCAGACTCCAGGCGGCAGCCGGAGAACAGGGGTGTGAGAAGACCCCGATCCTCACTGCGCCCGCTCGAATGTGGTGTTGTTGCGTGTTGCTCTCAGATGCAATTAAAACTGGGAGTACCAAGAGGGGGTGTCCGGCACACTCCACCCCCCCTCCAGGAGATAGACGGTGCCAGCACACCCTCCCCCTTCGACAACCCTCAACCCTCAATGTCTAGATGCGAGAGGGGATGGAGGAGGCCGACCGTGGTGAGGCCCATAAAATAAGCCCCCCCCCGGTGGCCCTGACCCCCACCCCCCGAAAATGCCCTACATAGATGTGTGTTGTGAAAATGATGTAGATGGAAGTGTCTAAAATGCAAAATAAAATTGGGGTGGGGGACGTCATCAGAAGGTGTGGCCCTCCAGTAACGACCCCCTCCCCAAAAACCTACATGTGTGGCCGAGTGATGGAGCAGGCAGAGGGAGGATTTCGGGGATGGGGAGCAAAGGACTGGGGTGCCTGCTGCACTCCCAGGGAGCCAGCTCCCCCGCTGACTCCAATAGGCACCCCCGTTCCCCGAGAGCCCCCCCAGAGAAGGGGGCCCCACCAGTTTCACCACCATAGCCCGGGGGCACGGGACCGGCAGCAGGACCCACCAGCCAGCCGGGCACGGAGCCGACTCCACCACCCCCCCCCCGTCCTGTCCATCCAAAAAAATAATAATAATAAAAAAAAAAATAAATAAATAAGTAGATAAATAAATAAAATTAAAAAAAATAAATAAATAAATAAATTAAATAAAAAAAAATAATAATAAAAAAAAAAATAAATAAAAAAGGAAAACATTTTCACTGTATGTCCAATAAGTATAATCTATTGTTTGAACTGTAGTAAATGAGTCAAGATACAACAAAAGGATAAATGGTGAAAAGTGCTAAAAAAAAGCTTAAAAAGTGAATGGACTTGATCAAAAATATAGAAAATGGCATCCATATATGAAAGAGGTGCTAAAGCCTTATGTTTAATGACTGGGTGACTGAGTTTTCTAAGCATTGTCGAATGCACCTCTCTCATTTGATTTCCAGTGAATTCAGCATTAAACAACCGCTGGAGTTTCTTCTTGTACAATGTGTTTGATCATTTTACAATCAGTTTTTGGTTTTTGACTTGCCACCCTGTCCCCATATCCCCTCCCCACTCCCCATGAGTTACCATGGGCCTCTTGGCTTTTGTTTGGAGATGTTTTATTTCTCAGTTTCCTTAGGATGGATATTGACTACTCCACAAAGTTTTTGCTTGTCTGGACTTAGTCATTAGTTTAGCATGTAAGACACAGATGTAAACTGGGTCAATCACATCATCGGAGTTGTAGAGTGCAGAGCTGAGATGCCAATGCAGTCATTATTGAGTAGCTAGAGACAGAAGCAATTTGAACTCTGCAAAGTATGTTTGTTTCAAAACTTACTCACCATTTTTCTCCCCCAGCTATCCACAGTTCCAAAAATAAATAATAGACTACTCTCCCATTGTTCCTATTTAGCTCCACTGCATTTAATAAGGTTGCATGGTTGCATACTGTTTTAAAGCATCTCTGCTGAATGCTAACTAACCCTTTTGTCTGGCTTGAGATTTTGGATGCAAGTTTAGTTATTTGTCAGGTTTTCATTGAAACAAAGAGGGAAACACATCTGTAGTATTTATTAATGTTAATTTATCTACTGTTTTTCATTTATCTGAGATCAGCTTTGATCTGCACATCTGATTTTGATGAATAATGCTGTGTTCTCATTACAAGTGGTATGGAATCTGTCGACACTTTGAGTTAGATGCAAGAAAAGTAAAACTTTCACACCTAGAATGGTTTCATTTATCCTTGTTGGAGATATAAATTAAATATCTGCTTAAAAAATAATAGAACTTTATTAATCTCACTGGAGAATTTGCCTCTGCATTTAACCCATCCCCTTGGGGAGCAGTGGGCTTCCATTGTGCGGCGCCTGGGGAGCAGTGTGATTAAGGGTCTTGCTCAGAGACCCAGAGTGGAGGCTGCGGGCATCCAACCGGATATTTGCAACCTTCTCTGAGCACAAGAGCACCGCTCTGACCACTAGGCCGGCATTCCCCGAACTGGCTGATATGTGTGAGCACTAATATTCAAGGTATAGTGGAGGATTTTCATGAATTTCTGAACAGACTCACCCTCTCCACTTGAAAAGAAAAAATGCACATGCACAACCCTATACCCACTCCCGAGAGGGAACGCTTGTTAAACTCGTGCAAGAGCATGCATGAGTCCATTTCTCATGGAGGATGTGCGGGTACACAATGATAAGATAGTCGCTTGGATGGATCTCATCTCATTCATATTTATATATAAGAAGTTTCCCTGCAAATAAGACTGCTGGAACATTTAAAAAAATCATGACCTGCTTGTGTGTGAGTCTGTGTGCTGCAATGGAAATTTGGACATGTTTGTCGGGTAAATAAGGATCTTTGGCAACCGTATAACTACCAAAGTTACAATATAGAGGTAGATAACTTTTACTAATAATGATGTGAAATAGATTTCTCCAAATAGCCTCCCAAACTTAAGCTGTCAATTTGAAATTTTGCTTCCGAGGTATCAGTGGGAAGCGCGACCTGTGCTTCCAGTATATGCCATCGCTTGAAAGAATCTCTCAAAAACATTCTGGTCTTGTTTCTGTCTTCTGAAGCCTTACTCTTCTTCTCATACACTTCATAGACACTTTTTCTCTTACGATTCTCAACTATTTTCAAAGAACTGCGGTGAGAAGGGTGAGCGTCAATGACTGGCTGAAACTGTAGCCCAGCACATAAAAGTGCGTATGCACAGAAAAAGGTAGCTAACTGGGGACAAGCCCATAGGACGGCTTTACGTAAACATATCACCAGAATGATTGACAATTAGGAGGACCACTTATTTTGATGATCCACCTGGAAAAAGAACATCCTCCACTGTACCTTTGAGCTAACACTTTGTTGAGTCCCCTCCTGATTGAATATCAGTAAAAGATTTCCAAACCTACTAAACTGGGAAGACATCTCACCTCCTGTTCTTTTTTTTTCCTAAACTGTTTAAGTGCATTTTATACCTATTGAAGGTCAACTAGAATAGTCCAACAAATACATTTTCAGAAAATTTATTACTTTGGCATTTAACAAAAAATAAATAAATAATTGACCTAAAACAAAAAATGTCAGACAACAAAAACGTGTATTTTATACATTTGAGTAAAATATTTAAAGCTTCAGCTTTACCTGTAAAAACCCTTAATATTAAAGCCTGATTTCAGATGAACGTTTTCTTATTGTATGAATAAAAATCAATTCTCTGGATAGTTCAGAAATTCACAGCAGGTTCCGAATAAAATAAATATTTCATATATATTTGAATATTTCTTTTTTATCATTACCTCGGTATATTTTTGTTTGCTTAGCACCACCAGGGAGTTTGCGACCCCCTGCCCAGTCAGACCTGCAGAATAAGACTTTAAATGTAAACATCAGGCTTTCTCCTTAAACCTCTAGCCAAGATGAAACTCAGCACCATGTTCTGATCAATGCTGACATGTTTTAACTTTGAACATCACAAATCAAACACTAATAGTCTGGGGCTCATGAAAAGATTATGCGTGTTATTGATTTTTCCAACTGGTGCTTCAATAATTCAGGAGCTCCCTGTTGTTTCTCTGCCTTTAAGTGTTTTTATGTCTCCATAAGTGTAAATGCTCCAAAATTAAAATGCTCTTTATTGAATTTAAAAATATATGGAGTTGAATTTCTGTGTTAAATGATGATGGTGTTTCTGCTGATCTGCTTATACTTTGACATTTAAATTTACATTTGAGCTGAGGATCACATGAGGCGCTGCCCACAGTGGAAGCATTTGTTACAATAATTAAACTACTTAGTTGTAATGTATGAATAATGGGTGCATAGGTCACTGGAAAAGCATTAATAAAAGTCTGTAATTGCAAATGATTATAATTGGAACTTGGAGAAATATCTGCTAACCGAGATGTGTTATTTTTGTTTTGTTTGCAGGATTCAGTCGGGCTCCTACCTGAGCACAGGCTGGTTTACACTTATCCTCGCCATGGACATGTGCAAAGAGATCCATATCTACGGCATGATAAATGACACCTACTGCAAGTAAGACACCAGGGATTGCTCAACCTGCTGCCTCGATACCACCCTGTTTTTTTCTCTGTGTTTGAAGAGGGGGGTGCTTCAGGAAACTGATACAAAATATCCTCATTCATATGTTAAACTACAAACCGTTTGATTTAAAAACCGACTGGTTGAATTCAGTCACCAAAATGTTATTCCTTATATCCATAGTTATGTTTTTTACCTTTTTTGTATTTTTGTTGCTGATTCTGATTCAATTTTGTCCTTTCGTGTATGTCTGTTTGGGCTTTTAGTTACCTTTTACTTTAAGTACTACCTGTGGACAGGCCTGCTGTCTTTTCCCTGAATCCTGGATGAGTGATTACTGTCAGGCTGCGAGGCCCGCAGAGGGATAAGGAGCATGATGCTCCGAGTTCAGCGGCACTGTCTCTAAACACGTCGCACCCTCGATGAACCCATCAACTAGCGTAGCTCCACCTGAGCCTCATCTATCCTCCGAATGAAGCTCGCTTCCCTAATGCACGCTGGAAATCCTGCCTTTTATCCTCTGTACGTTCCCCTGTGCGCAGCGGGAGCTGAGATAAGAGCTACAGACACATGGCAGAGAGGAGGGGTAATTCAACATGCACAGAGGAGATTTGATGATTTAGCCAGACAGTTAAGGGATGGTTTTCTCCCTCCCTGCCTGTGCATCGTTTATTTCCCTCCATCCTCATTGATGCCTGTAGATATTGTGTTTCTCTAACTTTGCGAACTGATAACTCAGTGTTTGCATAAAGCAGTGTGGGGTTTCAGATTATAAGGTGCAGCTCAAATTGACATCAGCAGCTGTTCAGCAGCGGAGTGCAACAGGTGTTGCAGAAAGGGTGAAATTAAATCTATCTGTTAACTTCAGAACGCGTCACTGTGTGACACAGAGGAGAGGCAGTGATTGGGCTGTGTTACGGTGATCTAGGAGAGAGCCAGTCACTCACTGGGTGCTGCTGTAATGGCTGTTTCTTACTGAATCTGTTCATCCTCCCAGTGCAATTGCTACACAAGTCATCCGCTCATAAAGCTGTCACTCGCCATTAGAAGCAGACAGCAGAGGACACAATGAACCCGATACATTGCGTTGGGATCCTGCAAGCTCCTGTTAGGTTCTTTTTTAATGCAAACTGTAAACACCATCAATCCAGAGAAAATTCTGAGGAAAATACTTTTTTTTTTTTTTACTAAACTAGTAAACATTTGCTGCATGTTTTTACACTTATTCTTCTGGTTATTTTGTAAAAATGAATAATATTAATTTATGAATTATTTAATTATTTGCTGTGAACAGGCATTTCTGTTTAATCAAAGGAAAACCTGCTGACAGGAAATGTGCTGTGCAGCCCAAATTACAGAGCACTGTCTGGAGGGGTCCTCTGTGTAACAGTTTCATTCAGCAGGTCAGAAAAGGCCTTTTGTGTTGTTTGAACCAAAAATGGCAATATATTACAGCATTCTGACAGAATGCTATAATATATAGTCGAGATCTCATAGTGCACTAAAATCAATGCCCTTTATATGCTTCAAAAATCAAAGCGAAGTCAACTAATATCCAGTACTCATCAGCATGCCATGGTCCCAATTACTACTTGGGTTGTGTCTGCAGCATTGAATTAACATGTTTTCAAATTAACGCTATTAAGCTATTTACTCTTGCTCTGCTGTTTTAGGAGCAGATATGCCTTTGTGGCCAGTTTGCAGAATTAGAAGCAAACTCAAAATCAGGTTTGAAGAAATGTAACACCTACAAAAAGCTTTGTTCACTTGCCCACCAGATTGTCAGGCAAAACAAAAATAGAAAAAATAGCAATTGGACTTAAGTTAATTTGTGGTTTCCTCGTCATACAGAAATTATTACTTAAATTTACAAAGTCACACACATATATACAGTCATTGTTATTTGACTTTGGTGGAGGAAGCTGTTATATCCATCTATACATACACCCACCCACACACACACACACATACACACACACAGCAGGTAAACTGTATTATGTTTAATTGCTAAGCCAGCAGCAAGCCAGAGTTTAATAAGTAATAATATTGCAAATACATTATATTATATTATATATATCATATGATTTTGTTCCCCTAAACGAGGGCGGAGATTGTTGAAAACTGTTTTGTTTGATCTCACCTGTTTATGTAAATAGAAATCACAGACAGTACAAAATGAGGTATTTGGACTTGAGATTTTTGACATCTAGTATAAAAATAAATGCACTGATATGCACTGATCAGACTTTGAACATATGTATGTAAACATGTATCTAAACACTTTTATTAATTTCCTGCAATAAACTCAGTAGAGTACTTTAATCAATCTCCATTTGAGATACAGCAGGAAAGCAGATGCTGGCTATAATCAGGTGTAAGAAACTCAGAAATCTGATGTTTTCATCAGCTAACTTGAGCGATAAACAATAACATTAATTAGTGTGGAAGCTGAAATGTGCAAAGTTATCTCTTTTTTGTATTAGTGACATATTCTTTCAGGCTGCTTCTTCTGAACAGTAATGAGACTTCTGCAGGTACCAATGCTGCAAAGTTTCTTTCTTTCATTTCATTTTTGGCCTTTGAACCAAATCCAACATGTTGTTATTTGAAAATATCATCAGTCTTTTGGAAATCTAATGGTTCAAATAGGGTCTACATTATCTGGAGAATCACAGAAATACAATCAGAGCTTCTTAGTAAATTGAACTGTAACTATCTCCTCAACATCAATGCATTTAATACCCTCATTGCAAAGAAGCAGATATATTCGAATGACATGCATCTCAATCTCTATTACAAGGAACATCTTCAATGTAAGCTGTTATTATTGGTTACTTCAACTTCCAATATCTGTACAGCTAAATGGATAAGTAATGAAGGCAGTACACTGTAAAATGCCAGAAAGAGGACCCGAAATTCAGCCAGACACAAGAGGGAACAATTAAAAGATTCATTCAAAGAAGTCAGCAGATGCTGCAGCAAATCGCCCAGCAGGGAAGACATTAATCTCTGAAAAGGAGAGATCGGCTTAGTGACTGGATTGATTCGAGCTTTTAATATTTCACCCAGAGAAAGAGCCACTAACTCTCTCAGGATCCATGAGGACACGAAGGAAGAGGTTGTTGGGCCCTCTGCAGATCTCAGCAGCAGTGACTTCACTGTACGGTTGGATGACCCCAAGATCGGGTTTAGTGATGCTCAAATGAAGAGAATTTTCTGTTTTGGGTTTCCAGAGGAGAGAGATTGTTGGTCCATGGACACAAAAGGGTCAGAGGATATAGGACAGAGTCATGCAGAGTGATCCAAGGGGAGAATCCAGAATCTTGGTGCAAAAGGACAGTCAGTAAGGTGAGGGGCAGTGGTGAAGAGGCAGGAACATTGTAGATGTGCAGATATCAGAAAACTGTGAAGTCTGGCGGCGGAGAGGCAAAGGCAAAGAAGTCGTGGGGCAGAAACGGGATCGGAAACATGTGATCATGCAGAAAAGGAACACTGGACATTTACTAACCTAGAGGTTTTCAATAATCTGGCCGGATGCATGGATGGTCAGACGGACGGATGGCTGTGTTTTTTACTGGCTGTACTCAACATGTTTGCAGAATTTAAAACTTTCTCCAGTAGTTTATGGTTTTGTTCTGATGAGTGTGCAGGGCCTTCATTGCAGTACAGCAACAGTTAAGACAAATATGACAAATATAATACAATATATTGAGTATTTTTATAACCTTACTACTTCCCACTTATTTCTGATAAAAAAAAAAAACATTTAAAAATGTTTTGTCTGTAAGTAATAGGTCCTTGTTTAAGAATATTGCTTGAACCCTTGTAAGTGTTGTACAATTATTGCTATTTTATTATTAACATTTGAATAATTCTATTGGAAATTATAATAGGTAATTTATGATTTTTATTGAAATTAATTCATTACAAATGGATATTCTACATAATTGAGATTAGCAGCTACCAGTCTTATATGATGATATAACCATTTTGATCATCAACGAACAATTCTTAACTTATTTTACCAGTATATGTGAAGATTTAAACCAGCGTGGACCTGGGTTTAAGTTAAAAAGTAGTGAATTTTAAACCATAATTGCAATAGGTAATTATTACTCATTAAACAAATTACAAGACATTTCTCTATATAATCAAGCTCGTTATTCAAAAGAGATGATTCAGCACTGGCCTGGCCGTTAGATAGAGCCGATCACTAATATAAAATAAGCACAGACAGCTACAGTTGAAATTTTTAAACTAATTATTACCTGTTACAAACATTTACTCTGTTTAATAATACTTGGAACACTTTAAACTTCCAAGAGAAGAAGCTAAATAAGGGAAAATCTATAAAAACAATGAATATGGATAGCAGCAGTTTTCAGACAATTAACCAGTCTTGGCCCAGTCATAACATTCAATATTCATCCACCAAACCAGCAACAAAAGTGAAACAAACACAACATTAAAGTGAATTTTGTATATGGTCCTAATGGAACCGTGTATTTTAAGGATGTCAACTTCTTTAGTCAATGCTGTGCACGATGTGTGGCTGCCGCAGAGAGCCAGGTCTCCCTGATCAGGCAATAGGCTTATTAAGCTAGCGGGCCACCAGAAAAACAGGGTCCAACAATGGGGAAATATGAAGTGAAGCAGAGGGTAAGCTGGTAAAATCATCTGCCCATTTGACTGGAGGTGCAGATGCCCAACAATGGCATGGTGACCTGTCCAGGAGTTAAACCAGGAGTAAATGTGAGGGCTATGTCTTACAGCCAAATTACCCATGTGATTTACCCCTGAATAGGCTGTAGATAGGAACCTGCTCCCTTTGACCATGAACAGACAAGCTGGTAGGATTACTTAAGGGTCCTTAAGTACATCTTTGAATATTAAAGAGAATGCCTATCTCCTAGATATTGGTTTAAAACCTTATCATGTATCTTTTCAAATGTATGCATATGTTTACATGTTGCCAGAACAAACTGAATGGATCAGGTTCACTCTACTTTATTTTCTGTTCTTGCTAGAATAAAAATACAGATAGCAGAAACACTGCTGTGCAGATGTAAATTTCTTGTCTTTCCAAAGCTTTTGTATAAGTTCTGTAGCCCTGCTGCTGGGGTTTGACCCATTCAGATCAAACGGCATTAATGCGATTTTGGCTGTTCAACCCAGAGATCAAGGAAAGGGAACCTGACTCGCCACATGGTGTTATACAGAACCATCTGGGAGAGGTTTTTGTATGAAAGTGTTTGGAAAAGGATAAGTGGTCAGAAATCACTTGGCTGGTGATTGAATGTGGCACGTCTCCGTTTATCCAAGGCTGAAGACTGTAAAAGGTCATTCAGACATAACAGAAGCTAGCCACCTGTCTATAATGAACCTCAACTGAGACACTAGTCCTGGAAGAAACACTAATAGTCTTCATCCTAAAAGGGTTGGCATGTTAAAAAGAAGCTTTATCATGGTGCAGATTTATCATGTTTTTGATTTTGGAGTAAGTGCCGCCATGGTGTTAGAGAACCCCATAAGGGCCAGTTGTACAACATTTTGAGCCATCTGCCTTAAATGAATGGGCCTTCATTTATTGTAAATTTATTGTAAATGTAAATGTGCTTGATTTGACCGTAGTTATTTATTTCTAAACATTTAACAACCTGAAGTCCCTATGTTTCAGATATGTAATGGGGGGGTGAGCAATCAAAAAACATGGTATGTATTCTCCCGTGATTTCTTTATTTCTATCAGAGATGTGGCCAAAGTTTTTGTTACACCACAGTCACAGAAATAACATGAATTTGACCAAAGTAATAAAAGACAATTCTATAATAATGAAATAATAAAAGTCAGATGTTTCTTTTCAAACGTGCGTCAACAGAATAATAAAAAATAAAAAAATCCATGAAATAGGCCTGGACAAAAATTATTGCAACCTTAACTTCATATTTTGTTGCTCAACCTTTCTAATCAATCACTGTTATTAAATGATTCCTGTAACTGTCAGTAAGACTTCTGCTCCTCTCAGCAGGCATACTATCCCAGTACTCATGAACAAACTGTACCAGTTGTCTCAGGTTTGAAGGCTGCCTTTTCCTGAAGCTATTGAGCTTCCAAGGATGCTCAATAGGATTTAGGTCAGGGCTCCTAGAAGGCCACTTCAGAATAGTTCAATATTTGTCCCTTAGTCATTCTTGGCTGTTTTTATCTGTGTGTTTTGGGTTAAAAACCCATAAAATGTGGCCATTGCATTTTTTTCTTTCACCAAACAAGGTGTACAAACAATTTTCTCCACGTTTCTATTAGCGTTATCAGTGTTAGAGGCTTTGAGATCATGTGCAGTTCCTCACCATCATTCTGCGTAAACATTTCTGCACTGAATTGGTTTCATGCCAGTCTGATTTGTTGCCTTAATACTGGCAATCAGTTTTCAGTTTATTGATTTTGTGGGCCAAAATCCTAGGACAGCATTGTTGCTCTATCTTAGAAAAATATGCACACCGCCACTTGTCATTTTCCTTTTGACATCACAGACAAAGACTTTGGGATTATGTGTAATAGAGCAAAACATAATGATTATATTTTACCAATAAGCTGTGACTTGTATTTCTATTCAGCCCTCTATAATCTGATACTCCTAGTTAGATTTCCCCACTTTTATGAAATGACCTCACAGGTTTTTTTTAGAGAAGATAAGAAAAGAAATATCATGAAAACCAAAAAGCACAGCAAACAGGTCAGGGTAAAATATGTTAAGAATACATGCCTGTAACGTGCACATATAGTAAAAAAAGCTTCCAAAGGCAAGTTAAATAGGAGAAAAACGGCATGAGAAATTACAGAGATCCATAACTCAGGTGGGAGAGTCTATCTACATAAGAACAGCCTTTAAATCCTGCGTTTATGTAAGATGTACAAGAAAAAAGCTGTTGTTGGGTCTTGATTAAGTTTGCAACAAGCCATGTGTTGATGTAGCATAAAGTGGGAGAATACACTGTGAAGAGAGGCGAACTGAACTTTATACCAAACATTAGAAAATTACATGTGGTAGAAAACTAAGGCTGCACATCAACTCTGAAACAACCAGCCCAATTAGAACACGGTGGAAGCAGCATCAGGATGAGGGGACACGTTTTTCAGCAGGAAACAAGCCGTAGGTGTTAGTGATAAATGGTGTAGAGACTAAACCAGGGAAAGTCTTGGAAGATATGTTAGGAATATGTTAGAGCATGAAATTAAGGACAACGAGCCTGAACATTTTGTTAGAGCTCATGTTGGAAAAAGTCCAGGCCTTAATCCAACTGAAAATGTGTGGCTAGTTTTAAAATTGTATCTCCCCAGACCTTTTTCATTAAATCTCACTGAACTTGAAATAATGTTCAGAACAACTTGTTATAAATAGAGGTTATGCATCCAACTGTCCAAAAATGATTTGATGTCCAGACCTTATAGCTGGTTAAATCAACTGTCAGATTATATCTCTTCTTCAACACAAAAGGTTTTATCACCTAATTCATGTAAAAGATCTTCTCTTCCACATCTGTAGAAAAAAATAAATGTCTGATAACGTCTCTTTCACCCTCTTAGGACTGAAGGCTACAGGAAGGTTCCCTACCACTACTACGAGGCGGGCAGTCGGGACGAGTGTGCAGAGTACCATCTCCATGAGAGCGCCCCCTACGGCGGACACCGCTTTATCACTGAGAAGTCTGTTTTTGCAAAGTGGGCCAAGACTCACTCCATCAAGTTCTTCAACCCCCCATGGCAGCTGTCGTGACCCCGGCTGAGCTTATGCAGGAGAGAAAATCCACATCAGAGTGGCTTTCATTAGCTCTGCAGTGACTCGAACAAACACACATCAGTTAAAAGCTCGGACTTCACTCCATGTCGTTTATTTTGTTCCAGTTTGGTCTCCAGAATTAAGGAAGTCTGAGGACTAAACATGGACAGCGGTTTTCATTCCTTTGGCTTCTTGAATTGTATGTTTTCAGCAGACGAATGTGGAATGCTTCTGCACTGACAGATCAATCTGTTTGCAGCTCTGTGAGTCCAGCAAAGATCGCCTTGAGCTTCAACAAAAGAGAAGAAAAGACCTTATCTCATGTTAACTCATGCTGAACTTGGAGAGGAACTCAAACCAGACAAGTGTCAGTTTGAACATCTCATCAGCACTTCTGCTGTTTCCTCTAACAGTTAATCTCCTGTCAGGTTGTAATTAATGTGTGAAAAGCTTCATTCAAGCCTTCATCTCTGGCAGAGGGAGTATGAAACGCTGATGATTTGTCAGTTTTAATTTACAGTGATCCGATGTTACAAGGGGGCAAAAAAAAAAACGCCTCAGCAAACAAGGGTGTTTGACAAAGATCTGAAGCGATCGAAAATCAGGTTTTAGGTAAATCCAGAGATGTAAACCAGCTCCATTGTGTTTCAACTTAAGGATGTCAGCTCCTTTTCCTTTTTATAATCCAGTGAAAGTGAATTTCAGCAACTCATCATGCTTTTGGTTTAGTCTCTTGAGGGCTTGCTGATTTACTGTGCCAATGACAGTGTGAGCAGCACAGCAACACAGAGCGATGTGCAATTAGAAAATCTATCTCTCTGGAAGGAGTTTGTGGCCCTACAGAGGAGAAGATTTATGTGTGCAGTGAAACCATTTGAAGTTAATTGTATCCCATTATCATTTTGTGCCTGCAATATACTTTGCAGTTCATTGTATAGACAAAGAAGAAGATGCATTCACTCTCTTTCTCTCTTCTTCTCATCAAGCTTTGTGCCTCTTTGTGTAACGCATCGCCCTGCAGACTTCGTCCCATTTGTCTCTGGGTGCAGCATGCACGTCTTCTGCTCAGTGACTTCTCATTCGAATGCATCTTTTACAGGACAGTAAAGAATAACCTGTGTGCTTCTGTTGGGACCTATGGGGCCGCTGTTGTCAACTGAAAGGAGTCAAAGATTTCTAATTTAGAAAGCTCAATGCACAAAGGCCCCAATGACAGTGAGATATAACTGAGGCTTCTCTTCAGCTTCTTCCATAATGCAAGCAGACTGAGGATCGTTGCAGTATGCAGGTCAGCTATAGTCATGTGTGAAAACTGGGCTAAAAAAACATTATGATACAAAATATATTCCTGTAGCTTAAATTACGCAATAAATACTGGGCCTAGAGTGCCAAAATACAAGCGCAAAATACAAGTTTATCTCCAAAAATATGAAGATGTTATGTGAAAAAATATTTAATATGTTTTGTTTTATTTGAAACCATAATAATTTTATATATATATAATTATATAATAGTTATTTGCATGAAAATCATCCCTAAATATTTAATGGTGAGTGGCCTGTACATTTATAGCCCCTTTCCAAGTCAGGGGACTCCAAAGCGCTTTACACTAAATTCAGTCATTTATATTTCAGTTTCATTTTCTGAGTGACAAAATAATTTAACTTTTATACTTTATTCAAAGCTTTTTAAATATGGATTTTTAAATAATATGCCTACATGTCTACAGCTAATTGTTCTTGAAGGGTTGTTGGGGGGGCTATCCCCAGCATTCATTGGCTGAGAGCCGGTCTCCCAGGACAGATACACATGACAACAAACTATGAGTGTACATTCAAATAAATAAACTTAAAAAATAAATTTAAAGAAATAAATACATTTTACAACTCCTCTTTAATAACTCCTTTTAAAATGTGCAATTAGGAAATACTTTTTAAATTGCTGAAATGGATAGTTTTCTTTTTCAGTGACTCTCTTGGTCCTCCAAAGTTTTAGCCAAAAAACAGTTCTTATCGGCCAGCAATTTAAAATCTCTGATATTTTTGTGCTAGAAACACTCTGCTTCTGTTAAGAGATTCGTGATTATTTTTCCCTGTTTTAATAATATTACCTGATCAAGCCTTTTTCTATCATTCTACTGTATAAAATAAGTAAGCTGGTATGATTCATATTAATATCGGTATCAAATCGGAAATGTAAAAACTGTATCAGGACATCTTTCATTTAACTTATTTTTTAATGGTGATGTTCACATTTATTTTTAGTGAGAAGGATTTTGTCAGGACATGAAATATCTGCTTCTACAGAAAAAAAAAAAAAAAAGAAAAAAAAACATCTAATAATTTAATTTTCCTCTACCGCAAAAATAAACATTAGGATGGATGTGGAAACCTGCTGGAAAACAACGCCACATGAATATGCCTCAAGTTAGAGGCCACCTGTGGGGATTTTCTGTAAACAAACAGCAGTCTTTGTCACATTTAGCCAAATGGTATTCTGATGATGAAACTCCTTAAAAAAAACTATTTGAGCTGCATTCAGATCATTGACAGACATGATAAGCAGTCTGTTAGCAGTCTTGTTCTCAGTTTTGTTTTCCAATTACTCTTTAAAGCCGTTCTGGGATAGGAACGGATAATATGATCATATAACTGTGTGGTCGAAATGAACCTATTTGCAAACAGTGGCTGTTTCAAGCAAATGTATTAATGATAAAGAAAAAAAATATTTATTTAGAGGAGGAACAATTTGTTAAAAACAGATAGATATAAAATGCTATAAAACAGGCTGAATAACCCTTACATGGAGTAAGACAGGTGAACAGAAAAAAGGGTGGAAATCCTGCAGAATCCATCAAACACCACAGCTGCTTCACTCATCTGTTATTACACCTGTATAAGGAGATTATGTGCACAATAAAACTCTTCTTTAGTTTCAACTCCTTATAAATCTGTGGTGATTAACCTAAAGAGGAGTTACGGCTTCATGGTCAGAGCATAGAGCGTAGAGTCCTGAGGTTCTGAGATCGAACCCCACTCCAACAGATTGCCACTCTGGGTCCCTGAGCAAGACCCTCAACCTTACACTGCTCTCCAGGCGCTGCACAATGGCAGCCCACTGCATTAAATGCAGAGATAAATTTCTCCAGTGTGAGATCATTAAAGTATAATTATTATTATTAGAATCACAAAGCTAAACAAAATTAATATTTAAATTTGTCAAAACAATTACAATGGATTGCCCTGTGATGGACTGGCAACCTGTCCAGGGTGTATCCCACCTCTCGCCCATAGACGGCTGGAGATAGGCACCAGGACACCTCGCGACGCCGCTTGGGATAAGCGTGACGGAAAATGGATGGATTGAATTACAATTGCCAATTACAATTGAGATAGCCTGTTAGAGAAGCATATAAATGTGATCTAATGCAACTAAAATAATTTTATCCATGCATTTTAGCTCAGTTTTTACATTTTTTTGATAGCCTCACTTGCAAATTGTTTGTCCAGAATATATATTTGTTGTTGGGCCTGGTGCATGATATCGCTGGGTCCGACCTGTTCTCACCTTGCCGCTCATTGGAAATCAGCCCCACTGACAGAAGCATCAGCAAAATGTAAAACTGTCCTGTTTTAAATTCCTCCTAGAGGACAGCAGATGGCGGAAACATGGCAGGGGTCAGCGTTCCCCATCTCCTCTGAGGCGACTCGTGTGCCCTCCTCATCCAAGTTTTTTTGCGAGCAGGTACGTAGGTATTAGGGTATCTGCTAAATAATACAGTCTGAACATCGGATGAGGACTTTTTTCAGCTCTAAAGGACAACCAGACCCCAGACATGCCTGTTTCCAGATTAAAAAATATTTTTTCTAGATTCCCCTTTCATTCTGGGATTGTACAGTCACCTGGCAGCTCTTCATCTCTCACTCTGACCTCTGTAGCTGTGTTGGACTCTGTACGGAAAGTTCTGCTGTAAAGCACAGATCGGATCAATATTTGCTTTAAAATGTTGATTTTACTTTTATCAATGCTTTTTCTTTTATATCAGTTGCCTTTACTGTCATTTTTGTGCTGTTTTTTTCCTTATGCTTTTTATGTTTTGCAAGCCCTTCTTTATGTTCATTGTTAAAACATTTCAAGGAAAGTCACTGGATGACAATATATGGAAAGAATATATCCTTAAGGCTCATTTGTCTCTTAGTCAAATTGCCATATAAATACAAATATGAGTTTGAGAAAATTTTGTTACCTTAAAATGATTTAAAAAGTTGAAAGGAAATTTGAGAAAAAATGTAGCAACATGACTTTAAAATAATTTTAAAAAGGTCAAATTAAATGCTCAGGCCTTTAATGTTCACTAATTAACATTGTATATCTTAGTTGCTCAAATTGCAAAGCCCCAACGGTCAGGTTGATATCTTATTTAGTTTTGCTTGTGGACTGTTTACAAAACAAAAGTTGTTTCTAAATTAATTATCAATTTGTGACTGAAAACAGCTTTTCAGATGTGAAACACCTTCAATAACAGATTAGTTTTATAAACAACTCTCAGCAAAGGTTGTGTCATCGGTCAGTTCTTTATACTCTGTTTAAAAGACCAAACTTTAATTAAATTTCTGAAATGGTCTCAATCAGTAGTTCTTCGAGATTTCTGTATGTTTCCATGGATTTTGGGCTGCTTTTCACTCATTTTTCAGGTGGGTTACTATCTACTGTAACTCTGACCTCCTGAATTCTACCTTCAATGGAAGAACTTGGGCTCTGTTGATGGGATAACTTATCAAAGAACTGATTACAGATTTATATTTTGCTGCCAACAGTCTCTCACAGAGATGCAACTTCTTTCCTTTTTATGCTTTTGATGAATTTGAAAAATAGCAGAAGTTTCCCAGTAAAAGAGGTTTTAACAGATGGTTCCCCAATCGTATTCTGGCTCTACTTTCTCCTGGTTTCCATTGAATTCACTTTATTTATAGAACACTAAATTACAACACATACTGTATGTAAGATGTTCTACAGAGCCAATTTAATCAAATCATACAGATACATTCATTACAACTGTTGTATCTAAAGAAACCCACTCTTTTGCATTGTGTCATTGACCTTGCAGAATTTGCTTCTCTTGGTCGAGCAAAAATTGTCAATCGCTTGCATAGACTTATTGACTCTTCAAGAATCCTTCACACCAAGCAAGCATGCAGCTACAATGGACAGCTTTTAACAGGAAGAAACTTCCAGCAGAACCAGGGTCAGTGTGAGTTGCCTTCCGCTGAGGCTAACTGTGGTTCAAGGAGACAGAAGCAGACACACAAAAGGAACATAGAAGCATTGATTCATAAATTCAATTCAATTCAGTTTATTTCTATAGCGCCAAATTCACAACACATGTCATCTCAAGGCACTTTACAGTTCACCAGATCATACACAGTCAAATTGATTCAAAGTTTTCTATCTAAGGAAAACCAGTTGATTGCATCGACTCATTGATTCAAATAAGATTCCCTCACACTAAGCATGCTTGTAGCGACAGTGGAGAGGAAAAATTTTTATTGATTTACCAATTATCTAACCATATGGGTGAATTCATAGACTTACTAAAGAGCCGCAAATTGTCTGCCAAGTTTATGGTTTAGGTTATGACAGTATAAAACAGAAAAAACGACAAAGTGACTCTTAAGGTAGAAAGGACCTACTGTAATTCAGTAGCAGACCATACTTTGTCCATCTTGACTCGACCTGCACCTTTTTTTGGCTGCTCTGTGGTGCAGCTTGTAGCATCTTTTATACTGTAAATAGGTTTCATTTCCAGCCTACAGTCTCTCGGCATTGTTCATGTTCTCTCTTTGCATACATGAGTTCTCACTGGGTACTTCAACTGTATCCCACATGACTGTTAGATGGATTGTTGACTCTAAAATTGACCTTAAATGTGTGTGCATGGTTGTATGTGTTGCCCTGTGAAGGAGTGGTGACCGATCCGGGGTGCACCTTACTTTAGCCAACTGGAGAAAGGGGATTGTGACCCTAATAGAAAAATGGCAGAAGATGAATGGATGCGCATATTTTTTGCTATAGTTCAAACACATAAACATACTCATATTTTTATTGTTATAACTTGCATGTCATATGTATATCTTCAGGTCCACCGATTTTTTTTCTGCTGTTCGTTCCTATTGCCTGTTTTTATACACTTTGCAGAACACCAATAACTGTCCACTATGAGCAGCCGAGTGAAAATGAGTGAGAAAGCAGCCGATAAACATTTCGAAAGATGTTCAGGAAACTACCTGAAAAACTTTTGATCAGGACCTTTAAATAAATATGAGGATGTTTTTCTCATTAGAAATGTGAAATAAAGGAATAAAAGTCAGTTTCAGAGTCTGTACTTACTTACTAGTAAGTAGTTACTTCTGTCTTGTCTACCTATATTTTAACAATTCGGCTCTATAAAAACAGTCTGCATTATGTTTCATATATTTACTCAGCAGTGTCCTAAAAACTCAAAATTAGCCCAGTGACACAGGGTCTGTGTATGTTCAGCTAAAAACCAATGAGAGAAAAAGAAGAGAGGTTATGAGGAACTTTGAGTTTCTGTCCCTGAACCTATAGAAAATGTAATCACAAACATATCTTATATTTTAGATATATATATTTTTTGAAACCAGAACTGTACCCTAAATAATTATAATAAAATCCAGACAATCGTCTTATCAGGCTTTTGCTCTGTCTAGTGTTTAGGTTAAAGTCCTTTAAATAAAGAAACAGTCTGTTTGTTCTACATTTGAGCTGTGTATTTTTTCCTATTTAGTTTTAAATGTGGCTCTTTTTATTAAAACCCTGAACTTATTTAATTTCAAACCTCCTCTAACCTGAAAATTAGGCTTTTTTTTCCCTCCAAAATTGTTCAAGCAAACTGAAGGTCATTCATTAAAAACCCACAAAAGTGAAAATGCTCGCACAAAGAAAGTATTCCTTTCTAATTATCTTTCCACATTACTTTGCACATTTTGATTCACAGGAGTGATTATTGCCATCCAGTTTCAGATCCAGGACAACCTCCTTACAGAATTGTCTTATTTGAATTCTTTGTAGTGTTTTATTTCTTTATGACTAACTACAGTTTCTCAAAGTGCTTTTTTAAAAACAGTATTTTTATCGCCTCCTTTCTTGTGCTTTTTTTTTTGCATTGGAACAAACCTTTCTATCCTTCAGCTTCAAGTGTCCTTGTAAAATTGTATCACTAGTTGTGTTTGAGCTGCACAGAATGTTTTTGTAACACATCTAACACACTCCTGCTGTCTGAGGGGAAATGGTGCATGTTGCTG